TTGCTAATACTGCACAGGTGAGCGCTACAAATTTAAATATATATATACTATCGGCCTATGTAAACGGCAGTCGAGTCAGTTGCTTATTAGACACTGGCAGTTCGCACACGTTGATGAGAAAGACATTAGCGAGTCGGTTAGAGTTGCACATGATTGAAGTTCCGAAAATAGAATTGCGCGGATTCAATGGTGCAGAAACTCTTAGCAATGTTTGCGTAAACATCACTATTAAAATTATGGAAGAACCTGCTAAAGTAAGCGCGATATTGGTAGAGCCTAATCAGTTGAATTATGAGATGATCGTGGGCCGCGATTTTCTAGATCAAGATCACATCGTTTTTATTAAACAACGGAATCAAATCGTAATCAAGGCGCTACCCGACATAGACTATTTGAGAAATGATATAAATGTATGCGCCGTCGAAGAAAAAATAAATTTCGACGGAATTGAATTTTGGACGGATTACGTATGTAGACAAAGATCTTTTTATGAATCTAATTACGAAATACGCCGATCAAATTACTACGTCTTGGAAGACGTTAGGGATGACTAACGTAGTTAAGATGCGTATACAATGTACGACAGATACGCCGGTTGTTTATCGTCCATATCGCATGGCTGAAAGCGAACGAGTAGTCGCGCGACGGATGATTTAAGAATTGTTGGACAATGGAATTGAGAGCGAGGCTACACGATATCAAGAAAAATTATATTGTTATGATTGGAATTATAAGCGAAGCATCGACGGGAGAGAGCCGAAAACTTTTTGCTGAGTTCAGAGGACCTTTTCGTGTTTGTAAGACGTTTTTCAATGATCGTTACGAGATAGAGAATCTACGAGAAGGGGGCCGAGGTGCCAAGACGATTGTCGTCGTCGACAGGTTGAAGCCGTGGATAGCGGTAGTTAAAGAATGAGATACTGAGAGTTATTTTTGTTTTGTTTAAAGGGAAAAGGGGTTTGGAGATCGAGATCGTCCGTTCCATAACAAGACGGATGTGTATGGAGCGTTGTCACCGTGATGACCAGGTTCTAGGATGCGATCATCAAGCGTCAAGGACGAGGATGGATTTGGTTGTCCGCCAGAGCAAGGAATAGGGTTATGCCGTCCTGCTTGGTTGTGTACCAAGGCAAGGAATAGGGCTATACCGTCCTGTCTGGTTGTTGATTTGGTTGTCCGCCAGAGCAAGGAATAGGGCTATGCCGTCCTGTTTGGTTGTTCATGTGATTGTTCGCCAAAGCAAGGAATAGGGCTATGCCGTCCTGTCTGGTTGTTGATTTGGTTGTCCGCCGGAGCAAGGAATAGGGTTATGCCGTCCTGCTTGGTTGTGTACCAAGGCAAGGAATAGGGCTATACCGTCCTGTCTGGTTGTTGATTTGGTTGTCCGCC